TGAAATACAAGGATGCTGTGATAGAACCAGACTATCTCTATTTTCCCATAACAGGGATTAGTTTTCCTAAAATTGAAACTGAGCAGGCATTAGGCCTGACCTCAACAAATGCTCCAATCAGAGGTGTCAAACACCAGCACCACAACACTCCAGATGCATTAAAATGCAATTGTGAAATATTTAACAAAATAAACTACAATAAAACATAGATAATGTTAATACTTATTTTCCTAAGTCTACACATGACTGCAGGATGCGCACATAAGTTTAGTGACTCCATTCTATCCACGCTTGAGACCACTGCTCTAAATTACTGATATTTAGAGAACTATAAATCAAGATTACTCTGGCGTGAAATTCACCTCACATACAGTAAACTCTTAAAAATGACAGAAGATGGGAAAAAACAATGGTGGACAGAATGTGGAAAAGAAAGGCATGTTAATGTACTGTTGGTGAAGCTGTCTGTGAACTGGTACAAGTATTCTGGAAAGCAATGTGGAATTATGAGAAAAAGTAACAGATCCATAAAACTTCTAACCCACACATTCCATTGGCTAGGCATATGACCCAAAAAGGCTAATGATAAAAAGAAAGACCCAGTCAAGATGATTATCTAAACAGAAGCAGATATATTCTATATGCCTACCTCCCACAAACCCGCTGCAGCAAAAACTTTTGATTTGTACCCAAAGATAATTAATCAAGATATTCAATGAGAAACTACGTGAAATGACTTCTCCCACCCCAGAACGACACAAAAACTGACAAGACAGATTAGAGACACACGTGTATTCTACAAAGCACTGTGTCCAGAAGCAGCAAGAGTAGAGGGCTCCACTAAGAAAGTCCCAGGGTGGGGACCCTGAAAACCCCAAGGAATGGCAGCAGCCAGAAGAGACTAACTCACTGTGAAAGCAAGGCTCAGACCAGAACACTTCAAGAAGGAACTGTAAGATGACGCAGTACAAACCTCCTAATAGAAAAGAAGGAAGTGTTCCTTCAGAATCTTATGCCCTTAAAGGATACTGAGGAAATTAAAAAAGAAAAATAGAGGACCTTGACCACAGATAGGTTCCATTCTGATGGTTTTAAAGAGGGAAAAGTGAAGAGAAGATCATGTTAGCCTTTTTCATGTTTTTTGTAGGGCTGCTTTTGCTAGACTATTTTTTCCCCTCTTTACTCTTTATTATTAAGGGAAGGGAGGATGGGAAGATACATTGGGAAATGTAGTTGATGTTAAGCAAAAGACATCAAAAAATGTATCTTTAATATTTATAGGGGCAGCTAGGTGGCACAGTGGATAGAGCACTGGTCCTGGATTCAGGAGGACCTGAGTTCAAATTCGGCCTTAGACACATAACACTTAATAGCTATGTGACTCTGGGGGCAAGTCACTTAACCCCACTGCCTAACCCCCTGAAAAAATTTATAATAGTGATACTGAATCACTGACAAAAGGTGCATTATACTAAGTATAAATACATTTTGGTTACGGTAGGGAAGTGCACGATGATTTTAGACAGGTTTTTAAATTGAAAATGATTTTAAATGGTTCTTAAAGACCTAATTACTGGAAAATTTACTTTAACCACAACATACGCATATTCTAATGCCAAAAACTTTAATGGTCCCTAAGAGATAACACTTAGAAACTGGAAGGGTGGTATGAATGAATATAAATTCTAAATTGATACTACAGGGACAAAGTCACATTAAGTGAAATACACCTTTTATTATGTGTTCCTTTAAATTATAAAGGCAAAGTTGTTTGTTTTTTTTAAGGCAATTGGATTTAAGTGACTTGCCCAAAGTCACACAGCTATTAAGTGTCAAGTGTTTGGTCTGAGCCTGCATTTGATCTCAGGTCCTCCTGACTTCTGGACTCCACTGTACCACCTACCTGCCCCAAAAGCAAAAAATTTTAAGTAACTCATAGCGTGTGGGTTTTTTTTCTGTAACGCACTTATAGTTTGCCAGTATCAATACTGTTCATAAAGAGTAATACCAAAATGCAGAATGTCTATGCTGCTGCATGTTGCAACAAAAGGCAAACCTTAAAATAGTTTTGCAACGCTTTCTTTAAAAAAACACATACAAATTTAATTTATAAAATGTGGAGTCAGGATTCTAATTGAAAAATGAAGGAGTTGATCAAGTTTTAATCATTTTTATTATTTTCAAATAGCCCTAACCTTCTACTAATTCCTAAAAAAATTCTTCTAAGGACTACAGGTGTCCCCCCCAAAAGACACACCCTAAAATTCAGGGATAAGGTTAACATTCGAATCTCTAACCAAAACAAGAACATGTAATGTATGTGATTAGTTATAACTTTATACTTTCATGTGGAAACAGAAAGTCACCATAAAATCCTACTAAAAATAATACAGGATTTAAAAAAGTATCAGGTTAGTAAGGAGAAAACAATGTTATGAAGAATTAGCACAGTTGGTAATCTACATGGATCTGGGCTGCAAAAACTTTCTAGTATCAGTAGAACTGTCTAAGAAGCCTGGTGTTATGATTTCAAGAGCTGTACAAATGATTTAGGCAGAACTACCTACCCCAAAAGTACATACGTAAGAGTATATACAGTGCAGGTTATGTCCCTTCTAGCTCTACATCTATATTCCCATTCACACAGTGTAAACGTTCTTTCACAGCAACATCCAAGCTCTTTTTCCTGATTCTTTGCTCACCAAACAACATTCTAATCTAAATTTGGTCTCCTAAATAGACTTGATCATCAAGAGGGAGCACACTTTACAGATGACCAGTACTTATTATCACATTACCTAGTGTTCCCATTATAAATTATCAACAGGCATTCTTATCTATTAAAATTTCATGGCTTTTGTTATTAGAAATTGGTTTTCCAGGGTCTGATCACCCCCAGTCAACCAGTTCAGGAGGTTGTAAACCTGAGAAGAGACCCTTCACTGAGGATTCACCATGCTAAGCCTACCCCAGAGGCCAACACAGCCAATTTTACCTAAGTACTTCAGAGACTACTAGGCAAGACACACACACACACACACACACACACACACACACACACACACACTCTTTCTCTCTCTCTCTCTCAGCTTGGCTAAAGTATTAACATGAATATCTAAGACTCAAGAGTTCACAAGGGTGAAGCAAGTGGTCCAAGGATATATAAACAGAGAGCTCTCAAAAGACTTCAGAACTATTAAATCACTAATAAAGAGGACTACAAATCAAAATAAGGCTTCATCTCACACACATCATGTTGTCAAGGATAACAAAGGGCAAAATGTAAGCATTGGAAAGAGGCAGCTAGCACACTAATACAGTTAGTAGAGCCAACAATGACTAAAAATGTCCAAACCCTTTAACCCAGAGATCTATCGAGGCATATACCCCAAGGAGGTCAAGAACAGAAAGAAAGATTCCCAACTCTTGAGAGCAGCACTTTTTGTGGTAACAGAGAACTGAAAACAAAGAGAATGCCCACTGGGTGGGGCTTAACAACTTGTTGCACCTAAACGCAGTGGAATATTACTGTCTGAAGAAAAGGTAAATGAGGAATTCACAAAAGTATGGGAAGACTTATTTGAACGGATACAAAGTAGAACCATGAAAACCAATATGAACAATGACTACAAGAATTTTAGGCAAAAAATAAATTGAACGCTGCATAATAATGACCAAGCTTGGAGCACTGTGCCCGTTTCCTTTTTTTTTTTGAAGTAGGAAACTATGTGTATGAAATGCATATAATATCAGACAAGGTGTGCATGATGTACAGATTAATTAACTTTTTTTTTCTTTCTCTGTTACAACAAGAGGATCATCAAGCAGACATACAGAGAAAAGTATTTTTGGAAATGATATATTAAAAAAGGCATCAGAAAAATAAGACATATAAATTAAATTATAAAGCTCTTCAATCTAATAACTTAATTTGTATCTCCTTTGTCTTCTACAACTACAAGTATTAACCAGCATATGTTTTCCTGCTATATCATATTACTTTCCATGTTTCATCAGAACATCAGTATAGTTTTGTTCCCACAACCCCAAAATTCTGCATGTACTGTACTAAAAAGAAATCATAAAAAATATCTCCAAAATGTAGCACATGACAGAAGCAACATACCTTCTTATATTCTAAGACAGAGAATTCCTTTTTATTAGAACTATGGTCTTTTCACAGCTCTTTATTATATAGGTTAACATTAAACTTATTTGTAACCCCTTTGACTTGATTCTTTTAAAAAATTGTTTTGACTTAATTTTTTAAAAAGATTTCCAAAAGCATGCAACTCAGTGATCCAAATGAACCAGTAATCCATTATTTATCTTCAATGATATCCTTTACTTAAGTCCTGCTTTGATGCCTCATTATGGCAAGAAGGTGAACCTGGGTTCTTGAACTCTATGTACCATTAGAGTGCAAGCTCTAGCAGGTCCAACTAACCTGGAAATGACTCAGTTGTGGGGAGATTAAGTTTGTTGCCTAATTAAGTTCAGAGAGACTCATAACTAGGTTGCAAATATAATGACAGACACTCAACTCTCAAAGATTCTGCTAACCTAAGAATCTGCTAAATTAGAAGGGCTGTAATCCTCAATGGTGGAAGGACCTATTTCACTGAGATTAAAGATATTTTACATACTAAAGCTATTTTCCTACTCACAAAAGTCTAAGTTACCATACATCCATTGAATTAAAGGAAAAACTTCATGTGACTGTGTCCACTAGGTGGAGACACAGATTAGTTTAATTACAACATAAAGACATCAATCATATCATTTAGCTGCTTCAGTAATTTGCTAGTTTATCAACTAATCACTTATCTAAACATAAGCCTTTTATCAGATAAGTCATTATTTTAACTCCAATTAGATTACACCAATAAAAACATCTCAATGTTTTTTTTTTATAAAAGTTGAAGTAACAGTTCTAAAAGAATCTCCCCGTAAAAGTTGTTTACCAACCATGACAGAAGCCCCACCCTACTCTTACCAACCTGAATGAGTACGCATATGTCTCGTTAAATGTGTCTTCTGGGAGCTGGAATAGGGACACATAGCACACTGATATGGGCGCTCACCTGCAATAAATCAATCATAAATTAGAAAAGTCAATAAAGGCAAAATACATAGAAAATTCATCACTTACTGACAAAATACATAGAATATTCATCACCATCTATGCCCAGGCAAAACACAACTGATACACTGGTGTGACTAGTAAGCTATTAGAATTATTAGAATCTTCCTTGATTTAACTTAGCATCTGCATATATCAGCTTTGAAATCACAACAAATTTTAAAGTTGAGCACAATAAAAACCATCACCCTTCAAAATGTTCTCCAGCCCTCCTCAAACTTTTAAGTATCTAATAATAACTCATCTGGTAGCAAGTACAGAGCAACATAAAGTTAAAAAGTGGTCTGCCACAGGTGTGGAACTTAATTTCTATTTTTTTTAAATATAATTCTTAAAAATCTGATTTTGACCAGGCCTGTATCTATGAGTAACAATTATTCAGGCAATTTCTTTTCTTTTCTTTTTTTTTTTACTACCTACCTCAGACTTATTGTGAGAAAGGTGCTTTTACAAAAGCTAAAATTAGTAAATGCAGGACTTGGGAGTCAGAATATATAGGCTCAATTTCTACTTATTGTTTTTGACCTTAGGCAAGTCACATAACCTTTATGAACTTAGTTTCCTCATAATATCCCCATCAAATAGGAATAACACTTGTATAATTTAACTGAAAGGGTTACTGTGAGGATCAAACAAGAGAAAGTACAGAGCACACCAAAAACTCAGCTTCATTATTAAAGCTTAAAGCTACACTAAGACTTTTGGGACATGTATTCATGAAGCGCATTGCAAAGCTTCATGAGTCATATTGTAAGCTCTTATACAAGTACTATTTTTCTTTGCTAGCAGTTTTAACAACTTTATGAGATAAATTAGTATTAACAACCACTTTGTGGATAAGACTAATATAATTTTTAAGTTAACGTATATAGATTCTTTCAAGATGACTTGGAAGGCAACAATGGATGAAAAGCCCCAAATGCCAGTTCTGTCACACTGTGTGTGTGACCTTAAAGCATTTAAGATCCCTAGGCCTCAATTTTATCACCTATTAAGTCACAAATGTTTTCTAAGATGCCTTCATACTATTCTTCTATCACTGACTAAGAAGGCCAGGGCAGGCAGGAACACAAGAAAACGAGTATTTTGGTTTTCTATGACTTCTATTGTTGGACCTGTCTTCCCATTTGCTATAACTCCACAAATCTATGCGTTTAAGGGGCTATGGAGATGATAAACAGTTCCAATACCTCCACTCCTACCTCCATTTAGGGAAAGGTAAAAGAAAAGAGCATCCGTTCAACTCTAATCTTTCTACTACTACCTTTTGCTCACTAGCCATAGCACTTCCCATTGAAAGACATAGCCTAGTGTAGCTAGCTTAACATCAAGAAGATTTGGGTTCAAATTCCACTTACAAGCTATGTGACCTTGAAAGCAAATCACCTAACCTCTAAGCTTCAGTTTCTTCATCTATAAAAATGAGAGATTTGGCTTCTAAGGTCCCTTCCAGCTCTAAATGCATGTCCTATGATTCTAGAGTTAAAAGCTAGCCCTCCTCTCTATTTTCACCAGGAACCACCATGTCTGACATCCCTAAAAGCAGTACAACTGTTTAATTAACAAACATTTGTTAAGCACAACTGTGCTGAGAAATACAAATACAAAAAAAGAAACTATTAAAATACATCTGTATACTAGAGTTACAAATATAGCATTAATATGTTAGATTAATTGAGGATAATTAGAGGCAACAATCTGGTCATGAGGTAATATACCATAAATGGCTACAGAACTGGTTTTGGAGTTTGGAAAATGTGAGTTCACGTTCTGCCTTTGAAAACACTAAGCTGTATTATCATGAAAAGTCATTTAATTTCTCAATATTCCATGCAACTCACTTAAGACAAGTTATTTAAGAGTTATGTATCTGTGGAGGTAGTTTCACACCAGGAAATTACCCTTAACTAATGAAATAACAGGTAAAAACAATCAGAAAGGCTATCTGATATAATGGAAAGATGTATTATTCCATTAGACTTGGAGATATTTGAGTTCCTACACTTAAAACCTATTCGACCTTACAAAAGTTAATTGAGTTCTCTAAGCCTCAAAGTTCCTCATGTTTAAAAAAAGAGATTAAGAGCAAGTCTACTTTAAGGCAAAGTACTTTGTTTGTAAACCTCAAAATACAAATTCAAGTTAGTATTTTGTCCTGAAAAAGTGGTAGAGGAGGAGAATAAAAAGCATGGGAGAGCAGAAAAAGAGAGAAAGGAGAACTTACAGGAAGAAAATAATAACATATATATAAAAGCTAGGAATGGATGGTTCCATTAATAATGGCTTTGTTTAGTGGCAACAATGCCATAGGAACTTTGGTCTGGAGACATTTTAAGATAATGGCAGATTTTATTAGGGAAAAACACTTATGGATTAACAGGAGTGACAAATGAAGCTGTCTATAGACTGACGATGTTGACAATCCAACTGTTAACTAGACTTAAGGGGTAGCAATAAGCTGATTTCCAATCGAAAACATTCTCCCATTGCTGAAAATGTCTCTTGGAGAGAATTTGTGAATTTGTACAACATGGGGGTGGGGGGTAGTATGTCCTCCAATCAGCTTGCTCTTTATCATCCATTAAACTTACATGTAAATAACAAAACAATAAAATGGAGGGCATGGACTAAACTGGCAGTTTAAAGGAAGATGGGACAAATCGCTGGAAAGAATCTAGGCAAGTATTCTGCCATTTTCCAATTCCAAGAACTGATTAAATTACAGAGGCTTTCCATAACAAACAACAATTTAAAAAGTTATCTATTAGGAGCTTAGGGTACTTAAAAATGTGACTTCCCAAAATACTGGAAAGGTAGATGAGAGACAGGCATTATTCCTTTTCAGACACTAAAAACTTTAAAAACATGGGGCAGCTAGGTGGCATAGGGGATAGAGCGCCAGCCCTGAAGTCAGGAGGACCTGAGTTCAAATCCGGCCTCAAACCAAACACCTGACACTTACTAGCTGTGTGTGACCCTGGGCAAGTCACTTAACCCCAACTACCTAATTTTTTAAAAAAAACAAAACTTTAAAAATAAAAAGAATCTCCAAAGATCACCAGAAATACGGCAGTAGTGAAACCTGAACATGATCCATGACAGAGCAATGTTTACACTCCACTGACCTTCAGAAGAGTTTAATGGTTGATCCTCAATAATAAAAACATAAATGATACAGTACTATAATAAAAAAAAACATATAAAAATCAACGGATCACCTAAATAGGATAAAATGGAACCAAACAGATTTAAAAATAAACTAGCAAAGAAAATGCTATGTAAATACTATCAAGTACTTCTAAACAAACTAGGCTACTCACCAATTCTTACCCTACAAAATATTACCACTACCACTAACACCTTAGCTTCTCATGCCCAGCTTTAAAACTTCAACTGAATGCTACCTCTTCAATGAAGTCTTTCCCAAAAGGAGAATCATTTCTGTCCTGCTGTGCACATTCACAGGAAAAAAATATCACATTCTTTCTTTCATCTCACAGCTGTGTACTTAGTAGATTATAAGTTCCTTGAGGCACAGACTCTACCCTGTAAGAGGTACCACAGTACAGGGAAAAGCAGTATCTCTGTGAGTCAGAGGACTTGAGTTTAAATGCCACCTCTGATGCAAAACAACTGATTTGGCAAGTCCCTTAACCTCCTCAGGCCTCATCATCCTCATCTGTAAAATGGGTAGGGTACAGAGTATGGGAGTGTGGGGGTGTGGAAGGGTGTCAGACTAAATGACTTCTGGGGTGTTTCCAGCTCTAAATCTATGATCCTTATTTATCTATCTCTCCCATTTCTTTGCCTGACATGAAGGAATTTAATGTTTAACAACAAAACAAATTAAGAGCAAAATTAAAATGAGCTGTTAGATCTTCAATTATCCTTTAAACCAATCTATTGTTTAAAATCTTTCAACGGAATGCATTTCTTAAGATTTGAATACTAAAAATTTATATATCATGAATAGGTAGGGATCTACTTCTCAAGTTTTTCTTCTAGCTGGAAAATACAAGATCTGATAGATCTTATTTTAACTAAGGCCGGTTTGTATTCAAATAAGCAGTCCACAAGTCAAAGAAATTCAACCAACTATTGAAACAGGCATACAGCTGCAAATCCTGAACTGAGGAGAAAATCATATCTAATAAGTCTGAGCTATGACTAGTGAAAGTTTAATGAAGATTCAATTACAGATTCAGACAACAGATGCCACTGACATCAGGTGGTACGGAAATTTTATGATGTGGTTAAAAAAACTATGAGCTGATCAATTCTCCCTGCTTCCAACTCACTGGCAGCCTGAATTAATAATAATACTAACATTCTGCAGCACTATCCAGAATCCTTTCTTAGAGAATGTATTTTAATTGAAACTGTCACCTAGACAATGTCATCAACTAGGCAAACTTGATTGTGGTGAAGTAGATAGAGCCCTGGGTCTGGAATCGGAAAAATCTGAGTTCAAATATGACCCCAAACACTAACTAGCTGTGGGGACTCTGGGCAAGTCACCTAACCTCTCTTTGCCTCAGTTTCCTCATCTGTAAAATGAAGATAATTATAGCACCTACCTCCCAGGGTTATTGTGAGGATTAAATGAAATAACTGTAAAGCACTAAGCACAGTGTCTGGCACAGAATAAGCACTATATAAATGTTGGCTATTATTATTTCACTGACAAGTAAGTTTTTGATAAATTCTTTTAAAAAATATACTGTACAGTTACTAAAATAAGACAATCCAAAAAATTTTGAAATGCACTGATTCCTATTTATGAGACTACATTTTTCTTAAGTTATTATTAAAATTAATTTGCCTACTAGGAAATAGATGTTGGCTAGGAGATGGGAAAAGGTTGACCAGGAGTAATCCTGGTTGTCTAAACCGGCTCATGATTAAACTAGCCAATCAAGCCACAAAATGGATAAAATATTCACAAATCATCCATCACAAATTATATGGCACACTCCAGTCATTACATAATTCAGGAACCAATTCTAATGATTTTCCTATATTGAAGAGTTAGTAAGGCACAGTAGAAGCTCAAATCAACATGTTTCTAAGTGTTATATTCAAAAAACTATAAAAGCATAGAGAGAACATAGGAACAGGAATCCAGAAGACTCGGGATCCAGTGTCAGTTCTGACATTTGTGTAACTGGACAAATCAAGTCACTTTACCACTGAGAGGCTCATATCCCCTCTTCTATCTTCTTAGGGAGGACACATCTGATCTCATCCCTATGCCACAGTTACTGTTAGTAAGCTAATATCAAAACCTTAATGACTTGAATCCAGTCTTAATCCCATTTAGGGAAGACTGAAGGCTTGCTTAAGTTTTAGTGTCTCTCCCATAACTACTGGGAGCCTTCTCTGCAGAAGGTATCTTTGAGTCTTGACCTCTCCTCTTAAAGTCTTCTTCCTCAGGTCTGGAAGCCTCTTACCTCTCTCTATTCTTGGCTACTCAAGCCATACATATTAACTATACTACCTAACAGGGTCGTTGTGAGGAAAACATTTTTTACAAATTTACAAAGTGCCATGTAAAGGAGCACTGATGTAGTATCAGTTATCAAATATTGCTTTAAAAAGGTGGCTCATCTGCTATGGCTTTTAAGTCCTATATTTTACTGGAATAGAAATGTTTTACCTGAATTAAAAGACAGACTCCCTTTTAATACACATCATAACTAATACCATTGATGTACAAATGGAAATCTCTAAACAGGCCTGCCAACACACCTCAATATTTTGTATCACCCTGCTTAGCTCTGGCACTCTTCTGGGAAAATTGTCTATTCTGCAGAGGGTACCTAATGTTGATAAACAAAGAGCTTTCCAGCTCTTTTCCACTTGTAACCTAAAAAATAATATATTAGAATATTTACTGTCTCCATACTGCCCTTAATTATTAATAATTAAGCTCAAAGGTAGTATTTTTACACCATGAGTAAAAAAAAGGACATGTGAAAACTTCATTACAATGAAAGTGACAATCATTTCTTTATAAAGTTAAATTAATTTTAATGATAAAAAGACCTTGTACATATATTAGATGATACTGGTCTAAACCTGGGATAATAACAACCAATGTTTCATTCATATGATGTCTTCAAACCACTGAATATTAAAATAAGATCTCATTCCCAAATAAATTTGCAGGGAGTTAATTGCTGAAGACTATAATATTCATGAAAAGATAAGTGCTGCCTTTTGAGATTTCACGAGTTGTACAAAATGAGAATTAATTTGGTATTTATTTTTCCTTACACTGACCAACTCACTAGGCAGTCTGTCTTTCCTAAACTGATGTAAAATAATGAGGGGCTTCTCCTTTGACAGCTGCACTAACTAATGCTGAAGGTTACCTTTGCACTATCTAAAAAGGAGGGGGGCTTGATTTATGCTAAAGAAAATGAATGGTCTAAAAGAGATTTCTAGAAGAATGCCAAATCTTAAAGAAGAAAAAAATTAAGCATCACAGGTAGACTTTCATATGATTAAATTTACAGTATGCAAAAAGATTGTGAGCACTCAGTTTACATTATTGCATGTACTTGAAAGTAAAATGGAATTTTTAATTTGTTAGAAGTCCTTCAATACAGCCTACTTCTTCCAGTTAGTCTTGATTAATAAGATTTTATTTTACCTGCCAAAGTTTATTAGTGCAAACAGCACTAACTCTAAAAGACATGGCCTCTATCTAGATGTGCTTCTTCTCTTCACAGATGAGCACATAAAGAAAAAATCAAGACGCTTGTCCAGGTTAAACACAGTGAGTTGGGGCAAAACCAGGACTAGACAAAAGGCTCCCTGGCTACCCCAGAGGAAAGACAACACATGGAATGAGGAAAAAACAAAACACTCTTACCAGTATGTGTTCGAATATGTTGAATATAATTGTTTTTCCTGTCTGAAAAGTAGGAGCACTGGGAGCAGGTATACACTTTCTTAGGAAAATGATTTCGCAAGTGCTTCTTCCAGTGATACTCGCTTACGGTGGTGTATGTGCATAGCATGCACTTATAGACTCGCTCATTCTCTCCTGCTTTGTTGTGGTGCTTCAAGTGAGCCAAATAGTGATCATATCTGTTGGTGTTATAGCCACAGCGGTCGCATCGGATAGGCCCCTTGGAAAAATCCGCTTCTTCAGCAACAGACGACTCGCACTCCTTGGTCTGTGCTTGTTGTGCTTGTTTCTCTGCATTTTCCTCTGCAAAAAACTTATTGGCGCTGTGGACTCTGATGTGATGGACAAACTCTTCTTCAGACTCTGCTTCATACTGACAAGGTTTGCAGCGAAAGGGCTTGCTCTTCAAGCTCTTGCATTTGTCCTCAGGAGTCTCTGGCTGATATGGTGCCTCTGAGGGAGGGTCTTTCTCTGAATTAAAAGTTTCTGGAACAGATGATTCATACACAGTCTGAGGGTCAACCACGATAATTTCCAAAGACCCCAATTCCATGTTTTCAGGTCTATTTGACTCACTTTCTATTCCAGGGGCCCCTTCAAGTCCTTCCCCATCACTGTCTGAGAAGTTGTTGTCTCCCACTGTGGTCAACTCTGCCATTTGTCTTTCTTCTCCAACCATGTAGTCACAGCAACCGCCATTCACTTCCCCAGTCAAGGCCACATTTGCCAACATAATCAGCTGAGGTGCTGCCAGCTCAGCTTTGGAGAGGTCGTGTAAGTCGTACATGTCGTTAGGCAATGCCATGACGATGTTGGCATTCCCAGTGAAAAGCCCGTTGCCTCCAGTCTGACCCAGCACTTGAGTGGCCATAACAGCAGCTCTATAAGCAAAGACCAAAATAACTGAAATCAAACATGTGAGAAGAAATACAATTTTAAGGTCTAAAACTGAAGTAACCGACTTCTGCTTTAAAGTCATCTTGCCTTTCCCAGAGATTTAAATTAGTTCTTCAAATATATTAATCCCTTTAAATTTTAATTTATGAGCTTTAAAAGCTCTAATTTTCTCTGAAAATCTTAATCCAAGGCCACCATTGAACAGCGGACATGACCTTGAATTTTCGAAGTCTATGCTAGCAAAATGCAGCTCCAAAAGACTTATGACAACCTAAAGCTTCCTAGAAGCAGAAGATGGGCCAACCTAGATAAATTCAGAGATGTTCACCCTTCAAAGCACTATCTACAACATGGCTTTTTGGCTATGGCAACTCACAAGAAGTCTAGTCAGAGGGAATGTTATCTTCACCAGACCAATAAAATCACTTATCTTTTGAAGTACTGAAATCAAGAGAACTAGAAATGATTTTAAAAGCTGTTTAAAAATACTTTAAATCACAATTCTTTTTTTTACTATATCCCAAACAAAATTTTTTTTGATCATCTCTTCAAAAAAATGTTAATTTCAATAATGTTGCCAACCAAGTTTAGTCTATGCCCAATATACATTTATTTGATTTATTCTCTTCTTGGCTTCACTCTACCCCTTCTGAATTTCAGGTGGAAAAAGTTTACAAGTTACAATCCTTCGGTTTTGCTTGGAAGATCTTATTTTGTCCCATTCTTTACAGTTTTTTAGGTATGTAGTTCCACTTCATAGAATTATCAGAACATTTCAATAACCTTGTAGAGTTCTCTCCTCCCTTTCACACCCCTCTACATTTCATTTGTCTCATGAATCAGAAAGCTTTGAGGCCGCTGAAAGCCATGCTGTGCATTCATTATATACACACAGACAAGTCTGGAAAGTGGAAGACTGCGATAATTGGTCAACTTAATTGAATTTCATATGAACTCAATCACTAATTCCAGATGACTAACCTATTGTGAAAAGGACCATCTAGTTTGTTTTAATTTCTAAAGGCTCCCATTGGTCCAAAAAGAAAAAAAAAAGTTAATGGCCCCAATTCCTATGAAAGGAGTGTGATATTGATTGGCTAAAAACCTCATGGATGAAAAAACAACTGTGAATTTCACTCCTAGGAGGGGCAGGAGCCAACAGGACCAGGAGTAACTTTTTTTTTTTTGCATGCTGGATTTGGCCTACTTGCCTGGAAGCCATTACTGCACAATCACCTTCAAGAAAGCAAGTTGGCCTTAGAGGGTCTGGCTATCCTCCTTCCACAAACCTCAACATGCTTTGCCTTCCTTAACTATCACCTCGATTTCTGAGAAAACAAAGGTGGAGCAGGGAAACACCGTTCAGAACCCAGAAGCCCGAGCTGGGGGCACCCAAGTAACCTATTTCCTCCGAGTATCCAAACAAAAGCCAGTTTCGTTAAGTACCCACAACCTCGGAAGAGTTTTTTAATCAAAATACCAACACAGGGAAACCCCACCTCGCCCGCATTCCCGGCCGCATCCGTCTAGATTCCTCCGTCGCTCCCTAAGAGCCTACATTTTCTACTTTTTCCTCCAAACCAAACTCTGAACTTTTAAGAATGGGGGAGGGGGGCTCCCCTCGAGCAAGGCCAGAAGCCGAGCGCTGCAAGCCCGGGAGGCTGCAGACATTCCTCTGTGCTGCTGCTGCTGCAGCCGCTGCCTCGGCGGCTGCTGCCGCCGCTGCATTCCTGCCTGAAATAGGCATTCGGCCATTTTCTCAAAATACCCAACACAAAGCAGCTCTTTGCAAACTCCGGGGCTCCGTCCTCCTCTCCCCCGCCTTCTCTCCCAACATGCCGACAAACTAGATGGCGATTTCCCCAGAGCTCGGCCCCCAGGCTTTGGGTGGACCCCCAAACCCTGCCTCGGCTCGGGCCCCAAGTTTCAGGCCATCCCCCCTTCTACCCAAGACCCTCTCCCCATACTTCCTTGTCCTCGACCCCGCGCCCCCTGAGATGTGTTAGTTGGAGGAAGAAGGAGAGGCGGGGAGTTAGCTTTACCAGGACTTTTTAGACTTGGGCTTCTGCAGTCTCCCACCTTCAGCTTTCCCAAGAATCCTCCTCCCTCGAGGGTTAAGGCGAAGGCCGGCAGGGGTTGGGGGTGGGGGGTGGCAAGCGGCCCAGCTCTGGCCTTGGCGCCTCCGGGAAAAGCGTTTAATAAAGTGGGAGAGGAAGCAACCCCTCGAGGGTCGAGCGGGTGTCCCCCACCCACGCCGGCCGGGCCCGCCCGCCCTCCAGCCTCTCCCTCCGGAAGTTTCTGAACTTCACTCCCCCGCCCCCCGAACGGCCGGGCGTCGGGAGAGATGGGCGGCCGGGCCGGGCCCAGGGCGGCCCCGGGCTGGCTACGTGCGCCCTGCCCTGGGCCGCGCCGCGCTGAGCGGAACCTCGCGACCGGCCGAGATGGTGCTGCCGCGGACAGCCCGGGCGCTGCGGGGGTGGGAGGGAGGGAAGGAGCGGCGGCTGCCCGAGCAGCAGAAATCGCTGTCCAGCCTCATTGGCGGAGGCGCCCGGGCCCCTGGGCTGACTCAACCCGTCCGCTCCCCGAGTCAACAGCGCCTTCCGGCCAGGGGGAGCGGCTCGGGCCCGGCCGAGCCGAGCCGGGCCGGGCAGAAGGGGCGGGGTGGGGAGCGGGGAGGCCGCGAGCTTGGGGAGGGGGGCGGCGGCGCCGGGCCTAGAAGTGTGTGGGTATGCGCGAGCCAGCCAGGGCCAGGCGAGTCCTCGCGCCCCGCGCCGCGAGGGTCCCCCGAGGAGGAGCGAGCAAAGAAGGGAGGACAGGCGCGCGCTGGGCCACGGCAGGAAGTTTGTTTCAGGACTAGAGGACGGAGCAGCTCCGCTCGCCCTCGAGGTGGCAAGGTGCGCCCCGACTGCCCCGGGTTCGGGAGTGCGGAAGAGGGGAGAAACTGAGTCACCTGGAGAAGAGGAGTCCGGGCCGAACGCCCCGCTCCGCAGCCGTCCTCGAGGACCCCAAACACCACCCCACCCCCCCAACCTCCACTACGCTGTTCCTCCTCCTCCTCCCCCGCTCTTCGAGCCTGGCTCCTTTCCTCCCTCCCTCCCAGCCGCGGGGGTGTAACCCGATCCCGCTCCTCGGCCTCACCCCGCCCGGGGCCGCTGCTGCCTGAGCCGCAATATCTGCAAATCAGCCCTGGACAGCGCCTCTCTCTCCTCCTCCTTCCTCTCCCCCACGCCGCCGCCGCCGCCGCCGCCGCCGCCGCCGAGCAGCCAGCCTACCTGAACCCTCACCCCCTCCCCAGCCGCGGCTCCTTCCGGCTGGGGCCCGGGGTGTGGGGGGGAGGGGGACCGACTTACCGGGGCTCCTGAGGGGAGGGGGGAAGGGGCGCAGCACGTGCGCGTCCTCCTTTTCCTTTTCTTTGTTGAGTGGAGTTTCAGGAATTGTTCGCAGGAGGGAAAAAAAAGCCACCAACGAGTAAAGTTGGGGCTAAGGCCACGGGGGCTGGAAGAGGCCCCGGGGAGCCCGGCTGCAGGTGGTTCTCACGCTGCGAAGGCTTCTCCGGCAGCTTCTGCCTCCTCTGGGACCTAGTGCGTGGCCCGAAGGAGCAGCGGGGACGCCTGAGCTGGAGTCTCCGGGTGCAGTGCTCAAGGCTGCTGTGCCGCGCGGCCGCCCGATCCGCACATTCCAACACAGGAGGCAACGCGGCGCAACCCGCCCGCGCCGCCGCCGCCGCCGCCGCCTCCAGCGCGACACGCCCCCTCCACCTCCTCGCGCGCGGCCCCGAAGCCGAGAGGCGCGCGCCCCCAGAGCGGCGCGCCCCGCCTCCCAGAACGTCCTGTGGGCGCCTCCGCAGCCGCCGATGTCCGGCCCGGATTCCGAGCCCCGGCAGGCGCCCTTCAGGACCCTCACCTTGTCCGCCAAGGGAAAGAGCCTTTGCCGGTCACCTTCACTTTCTCGAGGTCCGGGAAGGGCTCTTTGGCGCTCGAGATCGGGAGGACCAGGGGGAAAGTAGATCAAGCACATGGTGGCACCTGGGGGTTCGTCTCGGGGTCTGGACCGCACTGTCCGCATTGCTCTTATCTTTATTTCCCGTGGGTCCAAAGAGAAGAGATTAGGAAATAAAGTTAGTTGGCACCAAGGGGGAGTGCCCCCTCTCCCTTTTTTAGGAAGTAAAGTAGTTCAGACTTGGGTTTGAGTTCAACTAATTAACGTATGAACAAGGGCAAGCCACTCCATCTTCAGGAGCTACAGTTTCCTCGTTTGTAAAATGAGTAAAACAGCTTTCTTCAGGGGAGTTGTTCGGAAAAATACAAAAGTGCCTGTTCGAGACAGCTCTCTTCGGTTACCCTGCACTGTTTTTTACCTTGTTATCGGTTGTCTAGCCAAGTACAGGTAAGCACCTAGGACAGGAACTTTCTTGTTCCTTTGTAGCCAACCACCTGAGCAGAGAGTGTCCTTGCTCGATTTGATAGCTTGATTTGATTTAAATGTTGTTGGGGGAAGCGAGCTAATAATATATGTGAAAGCAATTGTGCTTCCAACTCTAAGTACAAAAAAAGAGCAAAGAAAAAAGTTATGCTTGGATATTAATTTGTATTGGGGATGGAGAGAAAAGAATCAAAGATGACACTGAGGTTTCCAGGTTGAGTTATTGGAAAAATCATACAGTCATAGACTTGGGACATAGGAGGTCATTTTACAAAGGAGGAAACAATGAATGAGTGAATGAATGAATGAATGAATGAATAGCATTTCTTAAACTCTTAACTGTACTTATGCCCAGCACTGTATTACTTGTGCATACAAATAGCCAATGCTAGACTGTCCCAGATTATCGAGGAGCTTCCGTTCTAATGGAGATGACACTTAGGGAGTGGTCACTAGGGAAGGAAGTTTTGGTCTGAACAGTCACAAAGATGGTGAATGGAAACAATAGGGTGGTCTGTTAACCCATCACTCAGGAGGTATTGGCAGTGGTGATTTGACTTCAGTTCTCAAAGGAAGGGGAGGTAGTGGAAGGTACTCACTGAAGACAAAAAAAAGGTTAAGTGTCTAATCCAAGGTCACAAGTGTAGCAAGAGCCAGAATTCTACTGCAGGTCCTCCAATTCCAAAAGCAAAACTCTTTGCACTTTACCAGTTTGCCTATTGGCAGAAATAGGCCAGGAGCTGGGATAGTTTTGGAAGAAAAATGATGAATTCCACTTAAGTTTAGCATCCAAGTAGAAGTTTAAGTCAGCCTACTGCACTGTGCTTAGTGCTGGGGATACAAAAAAAGAGGACAGAGTCCCTGTCTTCAAAGAGCTTACAAACTAATGGAGGAGACAACATGCAAATAAATATATATAAAGCAAACCAAATTCAAGATAAATAGCAAATAATTAACAGAGGTAAGGGCACTGTAATTAATCAGGGTGGGGGAAGGCTTCCTGTAGAAAGTAGGAATTTAGTTGGGACCTAAAGGAAGCCAGAGAAGTCAGTAGTGAAGCAGAGGAGTGCTCAGGCATGACAGACAGCTAGAGAAAATGCCTTTTAGGAGAACAGAAATGGAGTGTCTTGTTGGTAGAACTAGCAGGCCAGTCACTGGATGGAAGTGTATGAGTCTGAGAGTAAGATGTAGGAAGATTGGAAAGCTAAGAGGTGGGTGGGTCATGAAGGGCTTTGAATGCCAAACAGCATGTTATATTTAATCCTGGAAATAATAGGAAGCCACTGGAGTTTATTGAGTTGGTGGGGTGCCACGACGTGTGCTTTAGGAAAATCACTTTAGTGGCTGAATTGGAGATGGGTTGGAATGGAGAAGAGAATTGAGGCATGCAGACATTTACCAACAGGCTATTGCAATAATCCAAGCATGAGGTGATGATGAGGGGCCCGAACAAACACACTATATACAAAACAGTGTGTGTATGTATACATATACACTCATATACATATGCTTTACCTGTTTCTTTTCCTCTCACCCCAATATTGCTCAAAGCACCCCTTTCAACCTGTTAACATGGTGCAATGAAACTGTTCTAAATTGCTAAAACCACCTGGCAGCCAATATAGGGAATGGTCCGACCCCAATGTCTTCCTTTCCCTCTCTCCCACAAATGTCACTACTGTCCTGGCCCCTCAGGTGAACTGTGTACACAGCAGGATTCCCCTTTTTCCTGTAATTCACTGATCTAGGCAATGTGAAATAGTAGAAATGACACTGGATTTGGAATCAAGAGACTTGAATTTATATTTATTCAACATTCTCTCCCCCTTTAAATGCAAGTTCCTTGAGAATAGGCATTGTTTCATTCTTTATATCTGTATCTCCAGTACCTGGCACATAATAGGCACTTATTAAATGATTATTGATTGATCAATAGGCATTTCAAACTCAAGACGTCCCAAACAGACTAAAATCCTGCCTTAAACATTTACAACCTATGTGACTCCAGGCAAGTTACTTCATCTCTCAGTTTCCTCATCTGCAAAATAAATGAGTGGGGCTAGATGGCATTGCAGCTCTAGATCTATGGTCCTCAAATTCTATGACCTTTCTCCACCAAACCCACTACATTCCCCATATCTCTTAAAGGAAATCATGCTGCCGTGCACCCAATTTTACAACCTCAGTGTCATCCTCCACTCATTATTCTCCTTTACCTCAGCATACTAAATCAATTGCCAAGTCTTTTCTTACCTATTGTCTTCTATTTGTATACATTTTTAATTTACTTGACAGATCAGGCCTTAATTATCTCAAATCTGTACTTTCACAATGGCCTCCTAATTGAGCTCCCTGCCTCCAGTGTCTCCCCTATCCATCCATCCGTCTGTCCGTCCTCTACACACAGATGCCAAAGTGCTATTCCTAAAGGTCTAATTCCTGCTCAAAGGGCTTTCTATCAAAACACAAAGTCCTCAGCTTGTCACTTAATGCTCTTCTCAATATGATTCCAAACCTGCTATTCAAGACCAGTTTCATGTTCTTCCCTCTCTCATTCACTCTTCATTCCAGCAAGACTCTTAGTTGCTGTTCCCGTTTCTGAGATTTGATTTCCCACTTTTGTGCACAGACTTCATCCTCATCTCTGCTTCTTTAAAACAAGCCATAATAAAGGTCTAAGGCTCTAAGTAGTCCTGATTTGTCTGTCTTTTGTGAAAATTCCCCTCATTATTCAGAAAAACCTGAGAAGATTCATAGAAATTGATAAAGACTTAAGTGAGTAGAATCAGAACAATTTATATGACAACAATATCATAAAGACAACTTTGAAAGACTTAAGAACTCTGATCAATATAATGACCAATTATAATTCCAGAGGATTCATGATGAAATATGCTACCCTTCTCCTGAGAGAGAGGTGAGGGACTCAAAGTTCAGAAAAGAGAGAAGGTTGGCTTTTTTTTTTGACATGGGCAATGTGGAAATTTGTTTTACTTGACTATACATAGTTATAATAAGGGTTTTATTTTTGCTTATTGAAAAAAACTATATTTGATTTAAAAAACTTATTCCTGTCGAATTTTATGTACTTAGATTTAGCCTAGTGCTCTAGCCTGGGTAAATCTTTTCAAACCCTGATGTCATCTGGTGTGCTTGCCTTGTCCCTTCTAGTTTTGCTCCATCTGCAAATGTGATAAATATACCATCTATACCTTTTTCCAAGTCATTAATACAAACATTTAACAGAACAGGTACAACCACAGGTAGGAACTTATGGGACACTTTATTAAAGACCTTTCTGAATTGATCTCAAATCTTTGGGAATGGCCATTAACCCAGATTTGAATCTACGTAATTGTAACCTAATTGTAATTCATCTCATTCATAAGAATAACATGAAAACATTGTTCAATGTTTTGCTTAAAAAAAATAACACCCAAATATGTAAACTGTGTAAAGCAGAGAGTCTTAAACTTTTATTTTATCATGGGCTTCTGTGGCAGTCTGGTACAACCTATGAACCCTGATTTAGCATGTTTGTTGCCTTTGTTCACAATTGAAGAAAATGCTACATTTCACTTAAAGGTTGATGAAAATAAAGATGTTTTTCCCCCCATCCATGACCTTTAGGGAGGCATAATTCCCAAGGTCATAATCTCAGATTAAGATCCCCTGAACTAGAGCATTGCCCTGATTTTACAGTCTAGTATCCCAGTCAAAAAAGGAAATTATGTTAGTCCAACACGACCTGTTTTTGATGAAGCCATGTTGGTTTTTTGTTGTTATATTTTCTTTTCTAAATTTTCACTGTTGTACTGTTGGGTCTGCCTCTTTCTGACCCTGTGGACTATATCACACCAATACTGTCCACAGGGCTTTCTTGGCAAGGATACGAGAGTGGTTTGCCATTTCTCTTCTCCAAAAATAAGCAGCAAAAGAAGAGGAAAAGAGTAAAGGCAAAAAAAAAAATCCAGGAGTCAAAGTCTTTGTGTAGGCATAACTGTATTTTATGAATTAAAATCAAGTCTGATAGAGGATATCCTTTTTACAAAGCCTCATTAAAGGTACATTTTTATTCTCCAAATGTGTGTGATAGAGCAGCGACACTTTTGATGCAGTTTTGAGAGTCTACAGAAGCAGTTTGTTATTGTACCAGGGAGAGAGATAAGTGTTTTGTTGGGGCCCACGCATGAGTAATTGCTATGCATAGTGTCCCTGGGCTAGGAAGAAACTGTCAGAGATAGTGTTTTGAGGCTAGGGAGAAATATGGTCTTGGGATTGGGGTCCAAGCACCCCATCACTTTTA